GAGAGCGGAGCGGGCGGCGGCGGCGGCGGCGGCGGGCGCAAGGCGAGCGCGCCGAGGGGGCGGAGGAGTTGTCGTGGGTTTGTTTACGCATTGCTGCCCGGCTCGGGGCACAGCCCGCACTCCCTGATTGGCCACAAACTGGGGCACAGCCTCTCGCCGCCGCCTGCCCGGCCTCCTCGAACAGCCGCCGCGCAACTCCGGGAGCGCCCTGCCCGGCACGGCCACCGGCGGAGCCCGGGCCCGCAGGGGGACGAGCCACAGCGGCTGCCAAGGGCCGCCGTGGAGCCACACGTTGGCCCAGGGCTCGCAATTACCCACCTGTAGGGGCCCGACCTTGGCAAGGAGAAATTCGAAACTTCTGAGGCTAAGGATTTCGTGTCACCCAGACTTAGATGGGGCACTTTTTCCCCTCCGCGCAGACAGAGGAAGCTTGCCCTTTAATGGATAGAAAAGCAGCTCAAATGTTAATATGCCCCTTTGGCGATGGTCAAACCGAGGCTTCCTGTATAAGCTATCCCAGGGAGTTCACAGTTCCTTCCCCTGCATCCAGCTTCTCTGCTTGTAATCTGTCCCTCGCGCAGCATTCAAAGTTGCCATCCCAGAAGTGACCGTGCCACATGATGCTCAAGATCCTCGGATGACTCCTCGTGTCTTCAAACCCCAATTCCTTAGTGTTCAAATCTTCCATGGCTGGGCCTCCGCCTTTCAGTCTCCTTTCTACTGCCCAACTGTCACCCCTGTTACCCTTGTCTACAGACAACACCTTAGATGCCTCTGTCCCTTCACAATTGATTTCCTTCCTGCTCTGTTCTCTGCCAGGAAACCAGAAAACCCGATAGCAACCTCCACCTGCCAAACCCTCAGTCTCAGCTTGTCTACCATCTCTGTGTAGCCTCCCCCATCCTCACTCAGAATACCCCCTCCTGGCTGGCATCAGTCTGGCTTGAGGGTTTGTGCCTACTCTGTGTCTGTGGATTCCTTAAGTAAGAACAGGAGCCTGGTTTTAACAGGGCTCTGGAGATGGAAGAGATGAACTCTGTAAGAATAAAATTGTCTCTGAACATCTGGAGTCTTTATCAAGAGGGCCTCCTGATAGTTCACGAACCTCATCATGCAAAAAAGCGAATGCTTCCAAAAACTGAGAATGCCCTCTGTTTCTCCCTCTCTCTGTGTCTTCTCCCCGGCACACCTAGCTATGTGCCCTCTATGCCCATAATGGGCAATTAATAACCCTGAGAGAGATTTCTGGTCAAGCTGGCAGAGTAGGTAAACAGTGTGCTTGTATTCTCTCATGACCACATCAAAATTATAACTGAACTACAGAATAACCATCGTTGAGAATTGCTTGAAGTCTAGCTGAACAGAACCTACAACTGAGGACATACAGAAGAAGCCACCTTAAGACTGATAGAAGGGGCAGAGACACAGAATGGGTTGGTGCCACACCTGTGTGTGGTAGTTAAAAATCGGGAGGGATATATCGGCTGCAGAGGTCCCCCTGAGGAGCAAGTGGTCTCAGCCCACACCAGGCTCCCCAGCCCAGGGTTCCAGTGCTGAGAAAATAAGTCCCCATAACTTCTGGCTGTGAAAACCAGCAGAGATTGTTGCTGAGTGAGGCAGAGGGCTGCTGGAGACCCACACATTCCTCTTATAGGGCCCATGCACAGACTTACAGACTCACGTGCTCTGAGCTCCAGCACTGGGGGGAAGCAGCTTAAAAGGCACCAAGGACATATGGAGAGGAACTGAATTGTCAGGCTTCAGGGTGAAGGCTGGAGGGACGGCTTTCTCCCAAACGGAAGTGCTGGCTGAATCCATTGCTCCTTGCTGAGCCCTCCCCACTCCCAGCATGCAGACACAGGTAGGCGCCATATCTAAGTCTTCATCAACCTGGCTAACACCGTTTGCCCTGCCCTGGGGAATTCCCTGAGACCCTGGCCCACCCAACTTGCAGGCCCACCCAAGCCATGTCCAGTGGCTTTTCCATACAAATGGCCTGTCTTGGCTCATGTTTTGTATTTTCCTAAAATCTCTCAAAGGTTCATAAACTCCAGACAAGCAGCATCTGGCCTCATTGTGCTCCATACCTCTCGCTGAGTATCCCCAAGCCTGGCATTGGCAGCAATTGGCCTCTGTTCAAGGCATGGCCTCTCCCAGGCTCCTCCAAGCCCAGCTCGGGTGGCAACCATCTGCAGATTGCTTTGTGGCTCATTCTGGGTGGCCCCGGGCAGGGCACCAGTTGCGCCTGAACTTGGCCTGTTGCTGGACCCCTCCCAGGGCCAGCACAGTGACTGGCTTTGACCAAGCCGGTTCACCACCCAGCTGCCTCCTCAGATGACACACCCAAAGGGCAGACTGGGCAAGCACCAGAGTCCTGCTAAAGCGAATTCTGCTCCATATGGTCAGTGCCCTGCACAACAGCTCCTCCACTGTAGTTACGGTCAGTTCTTACAACCAATCAGCCTGAGGTTTAATTCCTCCCACTGACATGTCAACAGCAACCAAGGCTCAACTACAACAGGAGGGCACAAACAACCCACACAAGAGACACACCTGGAGTACCTGGCTCAAGTGACCAGGGAGACTAAGCCACTGGACCCCACAGGATTTATTACATAAGGCCACTCTACTAAAACCAGGAGACATAGCAGCTCTACCTAATACATAGAAACAAACACAGGGAGGCAGTCAAAATGGGGAAACTAAGAAATATATCCCAAATAAAAGAACAGAACAAAGTTCCAGAAAAAAGAACTAAACAAAATGAAGACAAGCCATCTACCAGATGCAGAGTTCAAAACGCTAATTACAAAGATGCTCAATGATCTCAGTGAGAACTTCAACAAAGAGATAGGAAACAGAAAAATGGAGCTAGAAAATATAAAAAAGAACCAGTCAGAAATGAAGAATACAGTAACTGAAATGAAGAATACAGTAACTGAAATGAAGAATACATTAGAGGGGATCAACAGTAGATTAGATGAAGCAGAGGACTGAATCAGTGATTTCAAAGGTAAGGTAGCAGGAAGCACCCAATCAGAACAGCAAAAAAGAAAAAAAAATCCAAAGAAAAATAAGGAGTTTAAGGAGCCTCGGGGATAACATCAAGTATACCAACATTCTCATCATAGGAGGATCAGAAGGAGAAGAGAGAGAACAAGGAATTGAAAACCTGTTTGAAGAAATAATGACTTTTCTAACCTAATAAAGGAAATAGACATACAAGCCCAGGAAGTACAGAAAGTCCCAAACAAGATGAACCCAAAGAAGCCCACATCAAGACACATTATATTTAAAATGCCAAGGTTAAAGACTAAGAGAGAATCTTAAAAGCAGCAAGAGAAAAGCAGTGAGTTACCTACAAGGGAGCTCCCATAAGGATGTCAGCTGATTTCTCAACAGAAACTTTACAGGCCAGAAGGGATGGGCATGAAATATCAGTGATGAAAACCAAGGACCTACTTGGGGTGGCTGGTTAGCTCAGTTGGTTAGAACGCAGTGCTCATAACGCCAAGTTTGCCAGTTTGATCCCTGAATGGGCCAATGAGCTGTGCCCTCCATATCTAGATTGAAATGACTACTTGACTCAGAGTTGAGGGATCCTGGAAAAACACACTGTTCTCCAATAAAAATCTTAAAAAAAACAAACCAGAAACAAAAACAAGGACCTACAACCATGATTACTCTACCCAACAAAGCTATCATTTGGAATCAAAGGAGAGATAAAGAACTTCCCAAACATGAAAAAGCTAAAGGAGTTCACTACCACCAAACCAGTATTACAAGAGATGTTTAAAGGGACTTCTTGAAGAAGGAGGAGGAGAAGCAGAAGAATCACCCAAAACACTACTTTGAATGGACGTGTGTATGCTTTATTGCAGCATTATTTACAATAGCCAAGATATGGAGGCAACCTGGGTGTCCATCAATGGATGAATGGATAAAGAAGAGGTGGTACATATATATACTGGAATATTACTCAGCAGTAAAAAAGAATGAAATCTTGCAATCTGCAACAACATGGATGGACCTAGAGGGTATTATGGTGAGTGGAGTAAATCAGACGAAGACAATGCCATATGATTGCATTTATATGTAGAATCTAAAGAACAAAATAAACAAGCAAACAAAACAGAAGCAAACTCATAGATAAAGAGAACATTTTGAGGGTTGCCAGATGGGAGGGGGGTTGGGGTGATGGGTAAAAAAGGAAGGGATTAAGAAGTACAAATTGGTATTTACAAAATAGTCATGATGACGTCAAGTATAGCATAAGGAATATAGTTAATCATGTTATAATAACTGTATGGTGTCAGATGGGTACTAGACTTATCGGGGTGATCACCTCATAAGTTACATAAATGGTTAATCACTATGTTGTACACTTGAAACTAATATAATATTGCAAGTCAACTGTAATTGAAAAATTAAAAAGTATTAAAAATAATAAATAACTCTGGAAGAAATAAAACTCCGGTGTTCTTCAAGCTAAGCCTTGAGGTGATCAATGTCAATATAGTAAATCATGAAGGAATAGATATGAGTGGCCATGAACCTAGCCATTTTAGAGATAATTTCTAGGCTAAGAGTCCCTTAACTCTGACAGCTAGTGTCACTCTCCAATCAAACACTGGAGACGTGGACCCTGACCATTCCTGACTCTTGGGATGGTTGGATTTCTTTCTCTCTAGATGTGCTGCTTCCAGTCCCACTGGAAAAGTTGTCTTTGAATTCTGAGGGTGAATCCAAATGAAAGTAAAGTTTTCTTTCTCAGATAATTCAATAATAATAATTTAATGAAGTGACTTA